AGAGAGAGAGAGAATTTATTTATTTATTTTAGTTCTCAGCGGACACAACATCTTTGTTTGTGGTGCTGAGGATCGAACCCGGGCCGCACTCATGCCAGGCGAGCGCGCTACCGCTTGAGCCACATCCCCAGCCCATACCACATTGTCTTTAGCCACTCATCTATTGAAGAGTACCTAGGTTGGTTCCATAGTTTAGCTATTGTGGATTGAGCTGCTATAAACATTCATGTGGCTGCGTCATGGTAGTATGTTGATTTTAAGTCCTTTGGGTGTATAATGAGAGTGAAATAACTGAATCAAATGATGGTTCCATTTTTTCTGAGGAATCTCCACACTGCTTTCCATAATAGTTGGACTAATTTGCAGTCCCACCAGCAATATGTGAGTGTACCTTTTTTTCCCAGATCCTCGCCAACATTCTTATATTCTTTTTTTATTTTTTATTTTCAGTTGTAGATGGACATAATACCTTTATTTTATTTATTTTATAGATGGTGATGAGGATTGAACCTAGTGATTCAAACGTGCTAGGCAAGTGCTTTACCATTGAGCCACAATCCCAGCCCCTGCTACTTATATTCTTGATAATTGCCATTTTGATTGGAGTGAGATGGAATCTCAGTTTTTGTTTGGTTTGATACTGGGGATTGAACCCAGAGACACTGTACCACTGAGTGAGCTGCATCCTCAGCACTTTTTTTTTTTTGTAATTGTAGGTGAACAGTCTGCCTTTATTATATTTGTTTATTTTTATGAGGTGCTAAGGATCTAATCCAGGCAAGTGCTCTGCCACTGAGCTACAGCCCCAGCTCCTCAGTGTAATTTTAATTTGCATTTCTCTAATTGAGAGAGGTTGAACTTTTTTATTCCAAATATTTATTGACCATATTTCTTCTTCTGTGAAGTATCTGTCCAGTTCCTCTGTTCCATTTATTGATTGGGTTATTTGTTTTGGGGGTGTTAATTTTTTTTAGTTCTTTGTACATTCTGAAGATTAATGCTGCACCTGGGTGCAGGTGGCAAAGATTTTCTCCCATTTTGTAGGCTCTCTCTTTATATTCTTGATTATTTCCTTTGCTGTGAAGAAGCTTTTTAGTTTAATACCATTCCATTTATTGCTTCTTGACTTTACTTCTTCTGCTTTAGGAATATTGTTAGGGAAGTCAGTTCCTAAGCAGGCATGATGAAGAGTTGGGCCTACATTTTCTTCTAGTAGGCACAGTGTTTCTGGTCAAATGCCTAGGTCTTTGATCCACTTGGTGTTGAATTTTGTGCAGGGCAAAAGACAGGGGTTTAATTCAATTTTGTTATGTATGGATTTCCAGTTTTCCCAGCACCATTTGTTGAAGAGGTTATTTTTTTCTCCAATGTATGTTGATAGTGTCTTTGTCTAGCATGAGATAACTGTGTTTAGGTGGGTTTGTCTCCTATAATCTAATTTCTCTGATCCCCTATACCTCAAATCCATCAAAATAGTTGTCAATACACAACATTTCTACCACCTCTCCTCCACTATTTCCTCAACCCACTCAGCCAGGCCTTGGTCCTCATTACCCAGTGGGCCTTGCTCTTGGCACACCGAACAATGGCCTCTTTATTGCCAACCCCAACTCTCATTTCTCTGTTCTCTTCTCATTCAGTCTCCTGATAGGAGACGACACAGTTGACCCTTCTCTCCTTGAAACACTTTCTTTCAGAGACTGGTTTCCTTCCTCCTCACAGGCTTCTTCTAGGTCTTCTCCTCCAGCCTGTCAACATCTACACTAGATGGCCCTAGATTCCGTTATCAGATCTCAGTTTATATACTCCTTGGAGTACTCTCTATCTTATTTTAAGTATCTCCTATATGAAGATGAAGGCCAAATTCATATCTGGCTTTAGTCTCTCTCCTGGGATCCAGAAGTATCTATATAACTGCACTATAATGTTTATACAAGGGTTCTCTGGAGTCAGGCTAACTTCCTCCTGTGTGGTCTTGATTATTCACTTATTTGTGAAAAAGATATCAACATTACATAACTAGGTTATTTGTGAGGATTAAATGGGAAAGCACTTGAAGCATTTATAATAGGCTGGCCCAAAATAATTGCTCAGTAAAGACCCAATTTGTTTACTTGTTTAAATTTTTTCCTAGAAGTCATGACAGAAGAAATCTTGTATGTGTCATTGAGGGATGAATTCCCAAGGCCTGGAATGATTTATCAATGGATTCATTTAAACCAGGAAAAGGAAGAACCTATAGAAACTAGATGCACTGCCACAGGTTGCCTTAATTGAAGGAGTCATTCAGGACTTTTTTTTTTCAGTACAGTGTCTTTGGAATCTCTTTTCATTGACCAACTCCAAGAAATGCAACTATAGTATTTCTGCCTCTGATATCTTCTCTGGGATTTTTTTCTTAGAAAATGTAAAATATATTGCTAGAACCCATCTGCAGTGTTTTTTCATTTGCATTCATTTTCATCAGCATTTATTGTAGTAGAAAACTAAAAAGCAGCTTTGCCTTGTGAAAAAAAATATATATTGAGCATGGCATGAATAAAATTCAAGGAATACAATGCAATACAATAGACTTTCTTGGCAGATATAGGGTTGAACGGGCACTGCCAGATACCAGCATCTGAAAAGGTTATACAAACCGCAAGAGGGCAGAACGATCCCGCCCCCACAGTATACTACACTCTGGCCCCACCTCTCCACGGTCCCCGCCCTTCACCCCGCCCCTTCTACCATAAACCACGCCCACACTCCCGCCCCACACCTCGGCCTCGCCCTACACCGCTGCTCCGCCCCGCGTCTCGCCCCACCCTGCCCCGGGCCCTGCCCAGCGCCTCGGCCCCGGACTGAATTCCGCCCATCCCAGTGGCTGCTCTAGGAAAAGTCTGCGGAGACTAGAACCCCCAGGCCCCAGCAGCTCCAGGAGGAAACATGGCCGCCCTGACTACGGTCGTGGCGGCTGCGGCGGCCACCGCGGTAGCTGGGGCGGTTGCGGGGGCGGGCGCGGCCACCGGGACCAGCGTGGGAGCGTCGCCCGCGCCGCAACAGGTAAATTGAGGACGGCTGGAAGCTGCTCTGGTGGCGGGCGTGGGGCTCGGGGATGTAGGCCCCGGGGGCGGACCACGTCTCTGGCCCTGGCAGAACAGGTGTCCTCTGCAGCGTCACCCGGGAGGTGCCGTGTTCTCGTCCCTTGGTGGAGGCCTGGTACGCCCGGCGGCGTTGCTCTTTGTTGTTATGGGCGTCTAACAGCCTTTATAAGCCGCCTCCCTGCAGTTTTGAAGTCGAGGAACACCGGGTCGGAAGCCCTGGGCTTTGCCGCTTCCTAGTTGTATGATAGGAAAATGTCTGGGCTGCTCAGTTTTCTCTCTAAAAATGGGTACTAATAAATAATACGCTTCTCCCTGAGCTGTGGGCATTCTGTCTGGGGAGACCCTGACATGAAGCTTGGTTGGAGGGAGACTTGGCATCCAGTAATCATCGCCAGCTCTTACTGTGCAGGTGCTAGGAACACAAAAGAGGAATAAAATGTGGGAGGATAAGAGGCAGAGGTGTTTCCTAGAATGGGCTTAAGGACCATTTTCTCCACAGCGAAGACAACCGTACCTTCCAATTGCCATCAGCTTAACGAGACTATTCCTTATCCCTCTAAACTAGATATCCCCCTTATACCCACTACACCCAACGTCTTTTCCCAGTTTTATGTTTTTCTCCGTAGCACTATTTACCATATGATATATATTTTTTCATTCTCTCCCCCCTCCCCTCCTTGAGAATGTAAGCTCCATGAAGGCAGAAATTTTTGAAATCATTATTATATTCCCAGCACCTAAAACGTGCTCACTTTATAGTGCCTAGGACATAGTAGGCGCTTCCCAAATATTTGTAGATCAGTGCAAACCTGGAGGAAAGCTGTTGTGAACTGAGGACAGGCTCTATAGTTTTAATCCTCAAAGGAAATACGGTGTCTTTTCAGTTTTGCAATTCAGGAAATCCACCTCAGGCAAATTTTCTCCCAAGTTCTATGTGATTCTATTCTAACTCCGGATCAAGTTCATCAGGAAAAATATAAAAATGCAAAATAGAGCAAATGTTTTTAAATATGGACTAAAACATGCATGGTCCTGTTAGTTTGTCTGTGTTGCTGGCTTTCTCCATGAAAACTTTTCAGTTCAGTGTGATCTGTTCTCTAAATTCTCATAGCTTGTTTTACCTCCTGATTTACATTTTTTACAAGCTACCTAATATCTTATTGACAAAGCCAGTGAGTCTACTATAGTGATTCTCAGAAGTGGTGTTTGCCCCAGGGACTACATCAGAATCATATAACCTATAGAGTTATTTCAAACATTATATTAGTTCTCAGAGAGCACTTAGCAATTTCTGGAGACTTAGTTGTGACAAAAGGGAAGAAGTTTTGAGGTGCTGCTAACATATAATAGGTAGAGGCCAGAAGACATCCTCCCCCCCAACAGCTATCTGGTTCAAAATGTTAGTAGTACTGAGGTTGAAAAACCTTGCTTTATAAACCTTTCCTCCACTTTATTAGGGAAGGCATAGTTTCATAACTGAGAATCAAAGCAGGAATGTAGAAATCGTCAAGTGTGTTTGGCTTAAAAAAATTAGAATCACTGCTGTACTAATTCCAAACCTGAATATTTGTCATTAATGAATATTTCTGCTCACTAATACTGAAACCAACTTATGTTTCTTGAGATGTTTATTTCTGATAATCTTATGATATTGTAAGTATCTAAAAGATATCTGAAACCTAGGGTTTCCATAACAGAGTATCACAGATTGGGTGACAAAAACAACAGAAATTAATTGTCTCACAGTTCTAGAGGCTAGAAGTCTAAGAACAAGGTGTGTTAAGATTGAATTCTGGTGAGGCATCTTGTCCTAACTTGTAGACATGTATCTTCCTGCAGTGTCCTCACAGGGCCTTTCCTCTCTGGGCCTGCAGAGGGAGAGAGGAAGGGAGAGAAAAAGAGTGAGAGAGATGTATCTGAGGTCTCTTCCTCTTAAAAGGGTATGGGTCCTTTTGGACTAGGGTTCTCTTTTATCACCTCATTTAACTAATTATCTCTGGAAAGTTGCTCTCCAAATATAGTCACTGTGGAGCTACAAGTTCAACATTTAAATTTTGGGAGGAAATAATTCAGTCTATCACAGTTCTCTTAAATTATTTTGGAATAATTATCTCTGAAGTTTCAGAACTATTGTATCTTGTATTTTGTAATCTCCTTGGGGTGTGGAATGTCATAAATTTCTCACCTATTATGAAAAGTAATAAGGTACCCTATCTATGCTTTTTGATGCTTGTATATGATTCAGCCACTACCTTTCAAGACTGAAGGCCACAAATCTTTTCACCTTCTCTTAAGTGCCCTTTCTCTCTTAATCCTGGAACTTGTTCACTTGATCATTTTAGTTTTGAATTATGAGTTTTTTAGAAGTACCTCTAACTACCATGTTGCTGGTTTTATACCAAGATAGGACTGTGTCTTCTGCTTTATTTCTAGTGATTTTTTTCTCTAATGACCTGAATCTTAAGTCCATTGACTGCCTAGATTAGGCTTTTAGTAATAACTACATTTCTTCTCAAACTTTAAATGGTCATTCAAAATGGACTTTCTCTAAAAGGTCATGCGTATGCATTAGGCTATGAGTATGTTCAGGTGTAGTAGGCTGAATAATGTTTCACCAGGGCATACATCATAAGGGTCTTTGCTGATGTGATTAATATCTTAAAATAGGGAGATTTTCATGGACCTTCTGATGGGACCCATTGCGATCACATAGGTCTTTCTAAGATGGAGGCAGGGTAATCGGTAAGTAATAGGAGATGTGATAATGGAAGCAAGGGGATAGGGTGATTTGAGGAAGGGGTCACGAGCCAAAGAGTAAAGGTAGACCCAAGAAGTTTAAAAAAAAAAAAAAGGTAAGGAAATAGGTCCTCCCTTAAAGCCTTCAGAAGAAATGCAGCCTTGCCCATACCTTGATTTTATTTATCTTTTATTAAGATTATTTTTAATGAACAAATCATTATGTTGTAGACTTACAGTATACATTGTGATGTTTTGATATGTGTATACAATCTGGAAGTAAATCTGGATTAAATTGAGCCCATTTAAATATGACCTCACTTCATTTTTTGTGGCAATACATTTGAAAATATTATTTTTTAAAAAAATTATGTATTTATTTTTAGTTGTAGATGGGCACAATACCTTTATTTTACTCATTTTTATGTGGTGCTGAGGATTGAATCCAGTGTCTCACACGTGCTAGGCAAGCAGTCTACCACTGAGCTACAGCCCTGAAAAATGCATTCTTAATAGTTATTTTGAAGTATACATTTTTATTGACTGAAATTACCTTGCTGAGTAATAGGTCTCAAAACTTATTTCTCATTTTCCATCCTGACTTTGTACCTTTTGATCAACCACTTCTCATGCCTTTCTCCCCAGTTCCTTCCAGACTGTGGTAACCATTATTTTGCTCTTTACTTCCATGAGATCAACTCTTTTTTTTAGATTATACAATTGAGTAAAATCATGAGGTGTTTTTCTTTCTGTCTGGTTTATGTCACTTAGCATAATGTCCTCTAGTTTCACATCATGAAATTGAAAGAGAATAAATTTGTAATGTTTAAACTAGTAAATTGGTGGTAGACGAATCTATGATAAATTTGTTACAGAGGCAAAGGAAGCATAAGGATAGATCTGAGATTCTTTATTTCTTTAGGGGGTATCGAAGGATAGATCTGAGATTCTGTATTTCTTTAGGGGGTATCGGGGATTGAACTCAGGGGCGCTTGACCACTGAGCCACATCTCAGCCCTATTTTGTATTTTATTTGAAGACAGAGTCTGACTGAGTTGCTTAGTGACTCACTTTTGCTGAGGCTGACTTTGAACTCATGATCCTCCTGCCTGTGCCTCCCGAGCCACTGGGATTATAGGCCTGCACCATCACACTGGGAAGGATAGACCTGAGAAAGTCCTAAGTTCTCATCTTTGACTGACCTTGAAGTTCCATGTAGAAAGAAAGTAAAGGCTGAGGTAAAGTTGTAAACTTCCTGCCTGAGTATTGAAGGTGTGCCCCAGAATGCAAACAGACCCCCTTACCCAAAGATAGCAAAGACTAGGACTTATTGTTTAAAAGCATTTCAGGAAATTTATGACCACTTATTACTGACAACTTGCTAGCCAAACAAATTTAAGTGCTATACCCAACAAAGAATATATAATTCAGAATAGTGAGTAAACAAACAGAAACAAAACAAATCCTAGGAATCTTGTTTTCAGAGTTGCCACATTTAATTATTGTAAATGTCCAATTTTTAACAACAACAAAAATATGAAACATGCAAAGAAATAAGGAAGTATAGTTCACACAGGGGAATAAAGCAGAAAAGTGGAGGACTAAATACTGGATATACTAGATAAAGACTTCATATCAGTTACTTTATTATTTTTCCATATTTAGTTATTTTATCTTTTAATTAATTTGTTTATTTATTTAGATAGCATTTCAGTGTTCAGTGTTGCCTAGGCTCATCTCAAACTATGGCTCCAGTGATTCTTCACCTTAGCATCCCAAGTAGCTGGGACTTGTGGTGTGCCAATGCACCTGACTCAAATAATTTATTTTAAATTTATTCACAGAACTAAAGGAAACTAAAAGAAAATATGAGAATAATATGTCACCAAATAGAAAATACCTATAAAGAGATAAAAATTACAAAGAAAAATCATATAGAAATCTTGGGGTTAAAGTACAAGAACTTGAATGAAGACTTGACTAGAGAAACTCAACACCAGGTTTACTTGGCAAATAAAAGAATCAGCAAACTTGAAGATAGGTCCATTCAGATTATCCAGACTGAAGAATAGGAAAAATAAATAAATAGATAGATAGATAGAAGAAGAAGAAAAATAAAGACTCAGAGATCTGTGGAATACCATTAAGCATACTAATATGAATAATGAGAATTTTGGAAACAGAGAAGCAAAATATACACAAAGAAATGGATATTTGGGTGAT